GAGCTACTAAGAACTAAAAACAGAACTATCATTTGATCCAGCAATCTCATTACTGGGTATATACCCAGAAGAATATAAATCATTCTGCCATAAAGATACATGCATGCAAATGTTTCTTGCAGCACTTTTCACAATAGCAAAAACATGGAATCAACCAGAACGCCCATCAATGACAGATTGGAGAAAGAAAATGTGGTGGTGCATATACACCCTGAAATACTATGCAACCATAAAAAAGAACAAGATTATGTCTTTTACAAAAACTTGGATGGAGCTAGAGGCTATTGTCCTTAGCAAACTAATGCAAGAATACCAAATACCACATGTTCTCACTTGTAAGTGGGAGCTAAGTGATGAGAACTCATGAACACAAAGAAGGGAACAACAGACACTGGGGCCTACCTGCAGGTAGAGGGTGGGAAGAGGGAGAGGAACAAAAAAAAAAATAACTACTTGGTACTAGGCTTAGTACTTGGGTGATGAAATAATCTGTACAACAAACCCCCATGACAGGAGCTTAGCTATATAACAAACCTGCTGTATTAGTCCATTCTCACATTGCTATAAAGAAATACTTAAAACTGAGTAATTTATAAAGAAAAGTTGTTTAATTGGCTTATGGTTCTGCAGGCTATAGAGGCTTCTGCTTCTGAGGAGGCCTCAGAAAACTTACAATCATGGTGAAAACAAAGGAGAAGCAAGCACATCTTACATGGTGGGAGCAGGAGGAAGCGGAGGGGAGGTACCACACACTTTTAAGATAGCACTAGGGGGATGGTGCTATTAAACCACCCCCATGATCTGATCACCTCCCACCAGGGCCCTTCTCTAACACTGGGGATTACAAATTGACATGAGATTTCGGCGGAGACACAAATCCAAACCATATTCTGTCTCTGGCCCATTCCAAATTTTGTGTCCTTCTCACATTGCAAAATACAATTATCCCATCTCAACAGTTCCCCAAGTTTTAACTCATTTCAGCAGTAACTCAAAAGTCCAGTCGAAAGTCTCATCTGAGACAAGGCAAGTCCCTTCCACCTACGAGCCTGTAAAATCAAAAACAAGTTAGTTACTTTCAAGATACAATAGGGGTATAGGCATTGGATAAATACTTCCTTTCCAGAGGGGAGAAATTGGCAAAAAGAAAAGAGCTATAGGCCCCATGCAGGTCCAAAACCCAGCAGGGCAGTCATTGAATCTTAAAGCTCTGAAATAATCTCCTTTGACTCTATGTTTCACATCCAGGCCACACTGATACAAGAGATAGGCTCCCAAGGCCTTAGGCAGCTCTGTCCCTGTGGCTCTGCAGGGCTCAGCTTCCATGGCTGTTCTCAAGGGCATTGAGTGCCTGTGGCTTTTCCAGGTGCACAGTGCAAGCTGTTGGTGGACCTCTTCTCACAGCTCCACTAGGCAGTGCCCCACTGGAGACTCTGCATGGGGGTTTCAACTCCACATTTCCCCTCTGCACTACCCTAGTAGAGGTTCTCCATGAGGGCTCCACTCCTGAAGCAGACTTCTGCCTAGACATCCAGCTATTTCCATACATCTTCTGAAATCTAGGCAGAGGCTCCCAAGCCTTAACTCTTACCCTCTGCACACCCACAGGCTTAATGCCATGTGGAGGCCACCAATGCTTGCAGCTTGCACCCTCTGGAGCAGCTGCCTGAGGCATATCTGGAGCTTGAGCCACCAGGACACAGGGAGCACTGTCCCAAGGTTGGGCAGGGAAGTGGGGCTCTGGGTCCAGACCACAAAACCATTCTTCCCTCCTAGGCCTCTGAGACTGTGAAGGGAGAGGCTGCCATGAAGGTTGCTGAAATGCCTTCCAGGCACTTTCCCCATCGTCTCAGCTATTAACATTCAGTTCCTCTTTACTGATGCAAATTTCTGCAGCTGGCTTGAATTCCTCTTCTGAAATTTTTTTTTTCTACCACATGGCCAGGCTGCAAATTTTCCAAACTTTTATGCTCTGCTTCTCTTTTAAATAAAAGTTTTAGTTTTAGATCATTTATTTCCTTATGCATATGACTGTAGGTTTTTACAAGCAACCAAGTCACATCTTGAATGTTTTGCGGTTTAGAAATTTCTCCCGCCAGATACCCTAAATCATCTCTCTCAAGTTCAAGTTCCACAGATGTCTAGAGCAGGGGCATAATGCTGCCAGTCTCTTTGCTAACACATAGCAAGAGTGACCTTACCCCAGTTTCCAATAAGGTCCATCTGAGAGGTCTCCATCTGAGACCTCCTCAGCCTGGACTTCATTGTCCATATCACTATCAGCATTTTGGTCACAAGAATTCAACAAGTTTCTAGGAAGCTCCAAACTTTCCCTCATCTTCCTTTCTTCTTCTGAGCCCTCCAAACTCTTCCAACCTCTGCCCATTGCCCAGTTTCAGTCACTTCCACATTTTCAAGTATCTTTATAGCAATGCCCCACTTCTCTGGTACCAATTTTATTAGTCCATTCTCACACTGCTATAAAGAAGTATCTGAAACTGGATAATTTATAAAGAAAAGATGTTTCATTGGCTCACAGTTCTGCAGGCTGTATAGGCTTCTGCTTCTGTCAAGGCCTCAGGAAACTTACAATCACAGTAGAAGGCAAAGGGGAAGCAAGAACATCTTACATAGTGGGAGCAAGAGGAAGGGGGAGTGCTACACACTTTTAAAACAGCACTAGAGGGATGGTACTAAACCATTAAACTGTTCCTATGATCCAGTCACCTGCCACCAGGCCCCTCCTGCAACACTGGCAATTCCAGTTCAACATGAGATTTGGGTGGGGACACAACTCCAAACCATAGCACTTGCACACGTACCCCCGAACCTAAAATAAAAGATTTTAAAAAGAAAGAAAGAAATCTACACATACACAGAGAGAGAAAGAGAGAGAGAGAGAGAGAGAGAGAAGGCAAGGTCACAGGTAAAAAAAAAAAAAAAAAAAAAAATCCCTGAGCTACAGAATTCAGAGAGCTTCCAGGTTGCTGAATTCACGGAGGTGCTGGGAGGGTAGTGTGCCCAGAGAGGACATGGAAGCCCTGCACCCTTTCCCCATACCTTGCCTGTATTAGTCTGTTCTCATGCTACTGATAAAGGCATACCCAAGACTGCATAATTTCTAAAGGAAAGAGGTTTAATGGACTCACAGTTCTACATGGTTGGGGAGGCCTCACAATCATGGCAGAAGAGCAAGGGACATCTTACATGGTGGCAGGCAAGAATAGGACATGTGCAGGGGAACTCCTTGTTATAAAACCACCAGATCTCATGAGACTTATTCACTATTAAGAGAACAGCATGGGAAATACCAGCACTTATGATTAAATTACCTCCCACAACATGTGGGAATTGTGGGAGCCACAATTCAAGATGACATCTGAGTGGGGACACAGCCAAATCATGTCATTGCCCTATGCCTATGTATCTCTCCCATCTGGCTATTCCTGAGTTGCATCGTGTTATGATAAACACATAACTTAGTAACTTTTCTTTCTGCTCTCTGTGAACTATTCTAGCAAATAAGTGAACATGAAGAGGAGGTTGTGGGAACCACCAATTTGTAACCAAGTCAGACAGAAGTTTTGGGTGACCTGGGGACCCACCACTTATGACTGGACTCTGAAGTGGGGGTGATCTTGTAGGACTGAGCCATTAACTTGTTGTAACTCCAGGCAATTAGTGTCAGAATCGAGTTAACTTGTAGGACACCCAGCTGATGTGGGAAAATTGTTCGGTGAGGGGGAAAAACCCACATATCTGGCGTTAGAAGTGAAATGTGTTGTGAATAGAGGGAAACAGTGAATACTTCTTATACACCTCTGAATGCTAGCATTTGACAGAGACCCTCACCTCACCTACCCCAGAAGCTGAAACAGTTCAGGACTTATATTTAGTGTAAATAGGGAGACATTTTGACTTCCTCTGAAAGAAAACTACTGGCTAGAAAAGAGACAGGCTGGGTGCAGGGGCTCATGCCTATAATCCCAGCACTTTGGGAGGCTAAGGTGGGATGATAGCTTCAGCCCAGAGTTCAGGACCAGCCAGGGCAACATGGCAAAACTGCGTCTCTACAAAAAATAAGAAATTCACTGGGTGCAGTGGTACACGCCTGTAGTCCCAGCTACTCGGGAGGCTGAGTTGGGAGGATTGCTTGAGCCCAGGAGGTCAAGACTGCTGTGAGTTATGATCATGCCCATAAATAGACGCTGCACTCCAGCCTAGGTGAGAGTGAGACCCTGTCTCAAATAAATAAATAAATATAATAGAAAAGAGATGGCATAAAGGTAGAGAGTCCTCTGACCTAGTCTTAGAAACAAGGCCATAAAGGTAGGAACTGTGTCTATCTCAAGTTCATCATGCAACCCTTCACAGAGATCCATATGCAATATGGGGACTTACGAGTGTACTTTGAGATTGTTCTTGCTGGGCATGTCACTATACCACATGCTTCCCCACCCTCAGTTCCTACTGCCAAGCGGCCACAGATGCACCTGCATTGTCAGTTTTCTCCTTCTCTACTGGATCATTTACTTTCCCATACAAGTTTGCTATAGTTTCCCTTGCCTTAAAAAAAAAAAAATGTTTAATCTTTCTTGACTCCTTTCCCCTGTCCTGTCCCTTCCTTTCTTTTTTTTTTTTTTGTTTTTGTTTTTTTTTTTTTGTTTGTTTGTTTGTTTGTTTTTTCCTTGAGACGGAGTCTCTATCGCCCAGGCTAGAATGCAGTGACATGATCTCGGCTCACTGCAGCCTCTGCTCCCCGGGTTCCAGTGATTCTCCTGCCTCAGCCTCCTGAGTAGCTGGGATTACAGGTTCACGCCACCATGCCTGGCTAATTTTTGTATTTTTGGTAGAGGTGGGGTTTTGCCATGTTGGCCAGGCTAGGATTACAGGCGTCAGCCACCACGCCTGACCTCTTCCTTTCTTTTTACAACAAAATTTCATGAAAGTAGTATGTATTCTCACTGTCTCTTCATTTCTGTCCTGCCTTTCTCTCTTACCATCACTCTAGGCAGATGTTCAGGGTAAAATCATTGGCCAATATCCAGGTGGTCTTGATGTTGCTCAATCCAATGGTTAACTCTCAGTCCTCTTCTTAGTTGACCTTTAAGTAGCTAATTGGACATGGGTCGATGCTCTTTCCACCTAGAAATAGAGAGGGGGAAGAATTTCAGGAGGGATGTCTTTGAGGGCCAAGAGGAAATCAAACCTAGAGCCCAAGGGGAGAGGTTGGCCATAGCTAAGAGCACAGATAGTTCATCCCTTGTCACAGGGGAGATGGCAGATACAGTGTGAGGATAGGTGTCACAGTAGGACCTTGGGGAGTTCTATTTTCAGCGCTTTGACCTTTCTCATGGAAATGGGAGTGAAGGGCTTTAGCTGAGAGTGAGAATGGGGCAGAGGTGTTGGAGGTTTGAGAGAGAGAGAGGAGGTATAAAGTAAGTGATCTGGCTGGGCACAGTGGCTCATGTCTGCAATCCCAGCACTTTGGGAGGTCAAGGTGGGTGAATCACCTGAGGTCAAGAATTTGAGATCAGCCTGACCAACATGGTGAAACCCCATCTCTACTAAAAACACAAAATTAGCCAGGAGGTATAGTGCATGCCTGTAATTCCAGCTACTTGGGAGGCTGAGGCAGGAGAATCGCTTGAACCTGAGAGGTGAAGGTTGCAGTGAGCCAAGATCATGCCACTGCACTCCAGCCTGGACAACAAGCAAGAAACATTGCCTCAAAAAAAATTTAAAATAAAATAAAATAAGTGATATTGAAAAATGGATAAGACATGGTGCTGCCAGGTAGCATTAAGGGCCAGTTGAGTTAGTGACTATTAATTTAATGTAAGACAGATCAACACATATATTATTTATTTTTTGCAGATGACAAATTTTCCCAAATTCAGTGGTTTAGAACATCAAATATCTATTATCTTACAATTTCGGTGCCTAGGGAATTTGGGAATTTAGCTGTGTGGTTCTGACCTCTAAGACTTTCATGAGATACTGACTGGAGCTATAGTCAACTGATGGCTCAGCTGTGGTAGGAGGATCTCCTATCAGGATGGCTCACTCGCATGGCCAAGGGCAGGAGGCCTCGGACAGGAGGCCTCGGTTCTTCATTACGTAGCTCTCTCCTTAGGCTGTTTCAATGGCATCATGATATGGGAGCTGACTTCCACCACAACAAGTAAGTGATACAAAAATCAGAGAGGGAACTGCTTTTTACAAACTAGTCTCTGAAGTTGTCTACTCACTTCAGGTTTATTCTATTCATTAGAAGCAAATTGCTATGTCCAGCCCACTCTCAAAAGAGGAATTAACCTCCACCTCTTAAAGTAAGGAATACCAAATCGTTTATGGGCATTTTTTTAAACTACCACACCTTGATTGTGTGCTTTACTCCAGTCACACTGAGCTGTACAGGCGCAGGTCAGGCATAGGGCAGATGGAAAGTTGGATTAAGTAAGGTTATGAATATGTGAGAGCAAGAAATCTAAGAACCAGAGCCTTGATGGTGCCAGGCCTCCCAAAATCAGCAAGTGAATTCTGCTGTATGTTGGCTGCACATGGCTCCAGCAACCTCAGCATCAGAACGGTGGGTCCTTAGCTGCTCCACCCCCATTAGCAAGCTTCAGCTCTGGTCACCCGTCTAATTCAGTCCTGCTGTCCACTGGCCTCGTTGGATTACTCATTGTTTTTTGTTTGTTTGCTTTGAATTGAAATCTCACTCTGTCACCCAGGCTGGAGTGCAGTGGCATGATCTCAGCTCACTGCAACCTCCACCTCCAGGGTTCACGTGATTCTCCTGCCTCAGCCTCCCAAGTAACTGGGATTATAGGCACCCGCCACCACGCCCAGTTAATTGTTGTATTTTTGGTAGAGACAAGGTTTCACAATGTTGGTGAGGCTGGTCTCGAACTCCTGACCTCAAGTGATCTGCCCACCTGGCTTCCAAAGTGCTAGGATTACAGGCGTGAGCCACCGCATCCAGCTGATTACTCACTGTTTTTGCTCCGGCACAACTTGGACTTGCCCATGGCCTATCATAGCCTCTCCAGTTCCAACCCTCTTGTGACTTGCCTAATACAGCTCTCACAACTTACTAGCAAATAACTCCTTTGTGTTTCTGTCTAAATTGCCAAAAGAGAAATATCTAATTGACCCTGGTACCTTCTTAAGCCAGATCACACAGGTCCCATGTCACTGACCAAGCTAAGGTGCTGGTTCCTATGGCACATGACATCAGTGCCCACGCCCCTTGGAGCCCTGTATGTTTGCAAACTCACAAGCTCTGGTGTGCTTGCACCCCCAGCAGCCAGCCCCTGACTTCCTTGGCCAGAGGGCTGTACCTCTCTCAGCCTAACAAAGCCACCTTGCCAGAAGTGGCTCTCCAACTGGGGACATATGTCCCTGGGGTGCTTGGCAACACGCTGAAGCATCAACACGACATGTTTTCTTGGACTATGCATTTCATTCAAAGTTGTTTTTTTTGTTTTTGTTTTTGTTTTTGTTTTTGTTTTGGGAAGAGGAATTTTTAACTTTTTTTTTTCTTTTTTCTTTTATCTTTTTTTTTTTTTTTTTTTTTTTTTTGAGATGGAGTCTCACTCTATCACCCAGGCTGGAGTGCAGTGGTGCTGTCCTGGCTCACTGCATCCTCCGCCTCACAGATTCAAGTGATTCTCCTGTCTCAGCCTCCTAAGTAACTGGGATTACAGGGTGCCCGCCACCATGCCTGCCTAATTTTTGTATTTTTAGTAGAGATTGTAGGGGTTCACCAGGTTGGCCAGACTGATCTCAAACTCCTGACCTGAAGCGATCCGCTTGCCTCAGCCTCCCAAAGTGCTGGGAGTATAGGCGTGAACCGCTGCACTCGGCCAATTTTTAATACTTTTAATAAGAATTATGTATAGGAAGCTGCCAGGCTCTATTTTTAAGGAGTATGTATTAGCTCTTCTCCACATAAAGGGTCTTTCTCTTTTCCCTGTTCAGTGGAGAAATTTTGAATGTGGAAAATGTAACATATGCATACAAATATATGAAGTAAAACTCATGAAAAAAAGAAAATACGTACAAAAAGAACAGAATAGTGGTCTCTTTCGCCCTGAAGAGTGGGAAACGAAGTGAGGGAGGAGCATATAGAGAAATGTAAGTTTTAGGTAATTTTTTAGTTCTTGGGTGGGGTGGTGGATACGTAGGAATTCATCATACTTTTTGTTTTGTTTTTGAGACAGTCTCACAGAGTTGCCTAGGCTGGAGTGCGGCGGTGTGATCGTGGCTCACCGCAGCCTTGAACTCTTGAGCTCAATTGATCCTCCCATTTCAGCCTCCCACGTAGCTGGGACCATAGGCACACACCACCGTGCCTGGCTAATTTTTTGTATTTTTTGTAGAGATGGGGCTCTCCCTATGTTGCCCAAGCTGATCTCAAACTCCTGGGCTCAAGCAATCCTCCCACCTTGACCTTCCAGAGAGCTGGAACTACAGGCATGAGCTACTGCAACCAGTTCGTCATACTACTAATAATAACTTAAAGAAATTAAAGAAAGCCATGTGTTGGCCAGGCACGGTGGCTCACGCCTGTAATCCTCGCACTTTGGGAGGCTAAGGCGGGCGGATCATGAGGTCAAGAGATCAAGCCCATCCTGGCTAACATGGTGAAAGCCCATCTCTACTCAAAATACAAAATTAGCCAGATGTGGTGGCACATGCCTGTAATCCCAGCTACTTGGGAGGCTGAGGCGGGAGAATTGCTTGAATCTGGGAGGCGGAGGTTGTGGTGAACCGAGATCGCACCACTGCACTCCAGCCTGGTGATAGAGTGAGACTCTGCCTAATAAATAAATAAATAAATAGATAGATAGATAAATAAAGTAAAGAAAGCCTTGTGTTGACTAATAATAATGAGGGTATTATGAATCAAGGATTATAATTAATCCAATTTTGAACATGGACAGTAAAAAAAGAAATCCCCACAGCAAGTAGAGAGGGAGGTATTTATGAGTTAAGAATCCTGTCCAAGGTGCCTCAGATCTAACAAGCCTGTTTCCACAACAGGCCTGGCGGTGAAATCAGCTAGGAAGGTGGTATCCACAGCCCCTCAGTCACTCTCCCTTGCAGTTAGGGTGTAGGCTGCACTTTGTATTTCACATTCTTGGACTGGTAAGAGATAGAGTATAGTTAAGCCCGGGATGAGTATAATTGTATGAATTAAAGTACACATGTATACTGAGGGCTCATTTCATGTGTGAGTCTCTGAAAATGTCTGTGACTACAACTTAAACCAAGACAACCTAAGGATTTTGAGAAGCACTAAGAGTATCCAGAGAAAATAGTAACTTCGATGCAGCCAATACAAGCTCAAGACTGAGAGTCTGCAAATCTAGATTCCAGCCTCTACTCTGCCACATTCTTGAGTGACCTGGAGAAGTCACTCAAGGTCTTCCTTTGCTCATCTGTCACAGAAGGCGTGGGAGCCTGGAGCCCAGCCCTCCTGTGCACCCTGTCTAGCTATGCTTCTCTGGAGGCGAAAGGCTGCTGGGCATTGAACACAGCCATCAGCTTGGGAGCTGGGCCAAGCCTCACCAGGGAACAGTGAGGGGCTCCCTGTTCTGACACCACACAGGTGCACACACACACCTGCTCATCAGGTCCCCGGCCGACCCCTTTACACACACGGTCTCCTGCTTCTGCAACAATGCCATACAATAGCAACTATCATCAGCCACATTCTACTGGTGAGAAAGCTGAGCTTCATCCACAGTTCCTCAGTAGTAGGAGTGGGACTGGAACCCAAGTGTGTTAGCTAAAAGCCCACACGTTTATCCAAGATACCATATTGACACTGTTTAAAGAATGCACTTAGGGAGTTGAACTGGTGGAGTCTGCATTCTTGTCACAGACAGAGTCCCCTCTCCCCTCCACATCTCCCCCTTACCCCCAACACAGGACTGCTGGGTTTCTCTGCTGGTCCCAGGTGAGATACTTCCTCACCTTCCAGCAGCAGGTGACGAGGACCAGGAGGCACCAGAGACAACCCCAGCTCCTCACTGCAGGAGCAAGGGAATATGGCCTCTGAGAGCAGCTGGGATTCTAGGCAGCTGAAATTACACTGCGCAGCGACAACACTCAGTGATAATGCGTGTCAGAGG